AGTCTTAGAATTATATTAGGTAGTCTTATCTTGCATATTTTAATCCTTTTGAGTTAAATTTTTATAAATTATTCTGCCTAATTCAAATTTAAATATACTATTAATTTATTTTTCCATGTGAGATCCACAGAAAATATTAAGTTTAATTTAAAAAAAGGACTTTTCCAGATATAAACTAGACTCTTGCGTAAGTCTAGAGCTGCAGGGAATCAGATGTAAATTATCAGATATGAGCTAAAAATATCACAAATAAATTTAAGTTTTGTATTCTGCGATTGTGATAAAAGAGAAAAAATCTTTATAAGATAGAGAAAGCATTCAGATAAATATCTTATTATTTTCCATATTAAACTTGCGCATTACTCGTTTGTTTCATAAAGATATTTCTGAATGTAACTGAATATGAAAAGATATATGTACGTCTTATACAAAATTTATATTTATAAATATTTGAGTATCTCAGACTTATTCATTCAAATTGTACATATTTACTTTTTTAAGGAAAAAAAAAAGCTGTAGACTTAGCTAAAATGTGTTATGTCTAGTCGTTGATTTATAAACGTTTTTCTGAGAGCATCGTAACAGCTTTATTGCTCACCCAATAAACCGAAGTCGTAAACTTCAAATGAGTTTAACAGACTTTTCGTAGAAAAAGTGCAAAAAAGACACCCACGAGATATTAGAAACTGATCACATGAACTGAAAGAGAAGAGTTAAGGTTTAAAATTGTTACGAAAAAGCAGAATAGTTAAAAGGTTTATAACCAAATATCTTGAAAGGGCAACATCTGCCTAACAAACTAGACATTCTGTGTGTGAGATAGTTTAAGTTATTCACAAAATGTGTGTAAATTTTCATAGAAGAGAGAGAGAAAAGAAACGCAACATTTTATTAGATATGTACAAAAAACACTTTAGAATTTATATGATTTACAATAGTCAGCTCATGATATTTTTTAAAATTTGTGGAGGTCATAAAATTGCTTTATTTTCAGCATTCAATAATATAACTGATTCCGCATTGCATTTAATTTTGATTTAGAGTTTGTATCTATTGACGTGGTCTAGCAACTCTGGTCACGAACTCGTGGGAGGCCACGGTATCCTAGTGGTCAAGGGTGGCGTGTCTTGAGTTCGAGCCCATGGCCGCTAAAGACCCGCCGTGTAGGGGAACGATGCAGTTTAAATCTGTCGAGAGTTCAAACATCCGTGTTGTCCTCGTCACTTGATCATGGTTCAAAGGAACGAGGTCCGTCGCCAATAGCCGTCATATAGCTTTATAGTGCGATGTTAATATCTCTCACTCACTGGTTTCGTTAACTTCGTATGACAAAAATGAGTGACTGGTGATGAAACTTGGCCTCAGTTGATGTGTAAATGCTTATTACTGTGGTACTACAAAGCATCACAAGCGCAATTGGTAATGGACCTCGTATTTTTCAATGTGGTCAAGTGAGAGTTGGCATCCATTTTTCGAACTCCACATCATGCCGACGTGAGGAATTTGAGTGATGATAGATTTATCGCGCATCAGCCTCTCTGCACGGCGATTCTTCAGTGGCTATAGGGCACGAACGGTTGATTCAAAAATAGCAGCGCAAGTCACGAGTTCGAGACCACAACCACTACGCTACCCTACCGTGATCATATCACATCTTAGGAGACACAAAGGAAAATATTTAGTAGGACTCACCGGCTACGAGTCCATAACCACAAGAATATTGCGACTTCTCACATAGCTCTAAAAATGATGTTTAACGTGGTTTTATTAACGTTGCGTTGAAAAACAACACAAGTCAGAGTTGTACTAACGTCACTCGGGACTATTGGCGACAGACCACATAGTTTTAAACCTCTATCAAGTAACGAGGACGACTCCTGAGTTAGAACACCCCCTCTCCAAACTACCCTATCACGCCAACATGAAGACTTTAAGCCTCTATAGATTTAATAAACATCGAATCCCGTGGTATCGGATCGTGGCTTGCCTTGTCACGAGTTCGAGCCCAGAACCACTAAAGACCCACCATGTAGGGCAGCGATGCACGTTAAATCTGTCGAGAGCTGAAACGTCCTCCCGTTGGTGTGGTGTGGTAGTTAGGAGAGGGGGTGCCAGCTCAGGTGTCGTTCACATCACTTGACCGTGGCTCAAAATTAAGTGGTCCGTCTCCAGAAGCCCTCGTGTAGCTGAACAGTGCGGCGTTAATATTCAATCAATCAATCAAAAAAGCATCGAATCCCTCTACACGGAGGGTGTCCAGAGGCACTGGGACTCGAACTTGCCACTAGACAATGCCGGCCACCAGTTCGCGACCATGAACACTCGGATACCCCGAGCGGAGACTCGTATTTTCCGAAAACACAGTGACATTAGATTAATTTCATTAATAGCTTCAGCAGTGTGTATTTTTAGCAGAGGTTCCTCACTATAATTTTTTCATATTCAGAAATAATATTCTTTAGTAATATCAGAATAACTAACACTACACCGGTTGGCAGTGACAAGGTTTCACTGAACCGTAACCAATGAAAAACAAATTAGAACAATCCTTCACGCCTTCGGAAGTCGAGAAAGAATAGAAGACGAGGGGAGGGTCTCCATAGAATACTTCATTGTCTCGATGACAATGTCGTGAAACAGAGCGACATTTTATCCGATAAAGAAAACTTTTCGCTCGCCTGTTCCTATCGGTGCCTAAAATTGGAGTCTATCCAAATCTCTCCCCCCCCCTTCCTTTTGATAAAATGGAAACTGTCATCTGGTCTTAACCGTGGACGGTTGAATAGGAAGGGTGATTTTTTTCCCCTTTTTTGGGAGGGAAGTAGATCTCTTTTTTCCCTCTCTTCTTTTAGTTCCTAAGTGATGGTCCCGTCGAAAGATTTAAGAACAAGAAACTTTTTTTTCTTTACCTTTAATATAAAATGGACAGTTTGAAAGATACCCCCCCCACCTCAGATAATTTTGAATTTCTGCATAGAAAGTTACTTAGATATGAATTTAGATACTGTGAAGATGTCTTGATTGAAAGTAGAGTAAATTTTAATTTGATCTCGTTTAGATTCTTTTATATGTAGTAAGAATTTCAAAAAAATCACTATTCTTAACTCTCTTCATATGTGTCATGTATGTGTATTAGTATTAATGTGAGATAAAATACTCTTATTTTCTATTTATGTATAGGGTAGTTTCCTGTTCGAAATTTATACATACATATGAGATGGCTCTTCAGCTACTTTGAGTGTGTTTTTTCTGTTTTGTTTATAAATTTGATTGATAACGTTACAAATGAAGTAATGCATATGGAGAAAAAAGATTTTAAAGCACAGGATTGAATAAAATGTTTTGATCGTTATTTTTTTTCTTTTGTATTATGCTAAAACTTTTAAATATTTTTTTTTTTGAATCGTTATCTCGCTATCGCTTTAAAAATGCACAAAGGAGTTACACATTCAAAAGACATCTTCACACTCAGACTATATCTCTCTTTTTCTCTCTCTCTCTCTCTCTATAAAAATATATGATGGTAGAATCTATACGTATACACCATTACTTTTAATAAGTCATATTTCTTCTTCGTTTATTTAAATTAGAGTTAGATGTACAAATTTTTTAAAATGTTACTGAAACGTATATCTTGTGAAAAATAGATTCACTCATAGCCATCCCTATCATCGTTTTATAAATAAAGTTTTCATTACTTAAGGTATCCGACAACTAGCGACAACATTTTTTTGAAAAAATGGAGATATGGGGATTTTTTTGTGATTTTTCGATTTACTTAGTTTATATTTTAAGGAAAAAAATCCTAAAAATGAAAAAAAAAATTATTATTATTAAAATGGGAAGAAACTGGCGAAAATGTACAAAAAATTACATAAACGGGGCCCACTCAGTACAAAGATTTTATGAACAAATTCTCGATTTTTCATTTTGGATATGTTACTTTGTTATTCGTGTTTGAAAGACCTTCAGGAAAGATATTTTAATTTTTTTAAAAAACTAGAGCACTTTATCTTGGTGATTATATGAAATTGCTTAAAAACACAGTTATTTTATTCACATAAAGGAATGTAAATTTTATAATGAAACAGTGATTGATAAATCTGAAAGTCAAAATACTTCTACTATTATACAGAAAATACACAAAAAAAATTCACAACAAATTATTTTTAAAACTTTTTCAGCAATCACTCTGCCCCCATTTGAGCTTTTAAAAAAAACACATTTCGAGTAAAACTCATTTTAAAGTTTGACATGTTGTGTTAAGTTATGGCATCTGCTTTGATTAAAACACTTGTAGTTTTTGTTCTAGTGAATGGAAAATAAAAATTTGGTATTTTTATTAAGCTAATAAGAGGGCCAATAAAATAAAATCACAAAACATTTTTGTCAATTTTTGAAAAAAATCATGATTTAAGAGTAGTCGGATACTTTAATATTTTACTAAATAGAGATAGGGAGAGAGAGAGAGAGAGTACGAGAGTATAGACCCCCTCTCCCTTCTATAAAACACTAGATGCGTTCTGTGTTACACAAATTTATGTAGTACGAAACTCTTAAGATTGTACAGATACACGTGACTTTAAATATGGCTTAAAGGACAGCGGGTAAGTACGAAGTACATATACTTCCTCTAGATGAAATCAGGTTTAATTTCATAAAGATATATTTTTAGAATGTTGTCTTTCTCAAATCTAAGTTGAAACAAATAATATAAAAAAAATTAAGACAATTCTTACTTAGGTAAACAAAGAAACATTTTATTTTAGTTACTTTTTATTAAATAATTACAATTAGAGAGTATAAATATGTATATACCAATGACAGAATCACACTATTAAGTGGCAAAATAGAAAGCGATTTTCCTTTCAATTTTTCATTTTCTCTTTTTATATCTGGTGTTGGACTATTATTTTTATGTTAATATTTGTTCCTTAATTAAATTTAATTATTCCAAAAAATAGAATAGTAAAAAGAAATCACATTCTCAGAAATTAGGCCATCCCAGGTGGGATTCGAACCCACGAATTTTGGATTAGAAGTCCGACGAGCTATCCATTGCGCTACAGGGACACAACGAGCTACGTATGGGGTTAGACTATTATATTTGTTTGTTACTATTTATTCATTAATTAAATAGAATTAATGAACTGATATTTGAAAAAATGTATTAACTTCATCCACTACAAGTTTAAAAAATGTATTTGAACTTGAGTGGATGAATAAAAAGTATTTTATAAACGATTGAAATTTTTGAACAAGATATATATATATATAAAATATATATATATATATATATATATATATATATATATATATATAAAGCATTTAACCCCCAAATTTCGCTTAATTCAGCGACAGCTTTAAAATATAATAGGTCTCCAGTTTGTCAAAGACTTTTTGTATCTACATTTGTTGTTCTGGTGAATTCAATTTTTCCTGCTTTAGCACTGTGGTTTAAATCCTACACTTTTTTTTATATTTATAATATATATATATATATATATATATATATAATATATATAAATATATAAATATAAATATATATTATATTATATATATATATATATTAAAAAAATATATATATATATAGGGAGTTGAACTAATAGTAGGAATTAAAAAAATGAACCATACGATGGAGTACCACCGTATGAATGACACGGGGTCCCCAAGATTTGGGGATATAGTTTTTTTGACACTTTAAAATAAAAACTTTTTTTAAATTGATCACCTTTTTTCGAAAAAAATGAATTTTGAATGGGGCCTCTTCAGGATTATCTACGCCAGTGTATACGATACAAACGTTCTTTCAGACGGTTAATGGGCATCACGCGATTATAAATAAACTCAGATGATCTCCTCCAAACATGGAGTTTACCCGAAATTTGAGAAGCCTAATAATGTTAATATTTCCAGCCAAAAGGTTTATTAATTTTTGGAGCTAAAATGTAAAAATAACATCGTAACATCTTTCTCATTCTTTTACCGTGTTATATCATCTCTTTTTAGTAAGTTATTCAATCATAGTCAAAATTTTTCTGCCATAATATACTGTTAAGAATTTTTTTTTTTTAAAAATCAAATAATTTGTATTTTGGGTGTATAATGCATTTAAATAATCATGATATTTATTTTATGTTAAAATTGTAATATTCACAACAATGCCGACCTTACGTAATCCAATAGAACGGGAAATCTTTGGCGATAAAGCTGTTGGCATCATTTTGGGGACCGAGTTTGCGACTTTGGGGCTATTTTGGCGAATTTGCGACCATGGGCGGTTCGGGGGCCCCTGGGTTCTTCAGAAACTTTGGAAAAAAATTTACTTTTCACGCTCTACGACGCAAGCGGTTATCTTTCTGGAAATTTCGGCCCTCTGTAAATGAAAACCTCGCCGAAATGAGGGGGCAGTCTCTTTAATCAGCGTTGGAAACCGTCTTAACCTGATTACCGATTGCTGGGGTGCGTGGTAATCTTTTTCAAACGTTTTTTTTAAACACTGTAAATTTTGTCGAGCTGCTGGGGGTGGACCTTCTGCGATTTATTCTTGAATATTGCTTTTCTGAAAATTTTCTGGTTA